TGCTACCAGAGCTCGTTGGGCGCTCAATATTACTTCATCTCGTAAGTCAAAGCAGTCTCTTCCACAAGGTATGAGATAATTATCTGTCATGTTGGGAACTTGATCCAATGCTCCACATCTATGTTTCTTTTTTGTTTTGAAAAGTACTCTAGGCTATAAGCCCAAACCAAAGCCATGCCGTCAGTGGATTCGGACCCCATATTTCACACAGTATAACTGCTCCATAGGATTTTTTTGGCTCTTATCTTTACAGAAGCAGATTTCCAGGCCTTTCTTCCTCAGTGCCGCTGGGTGGGTTTGAACTGTCAACATTTAGGCTAGTAGTTGAGTGCATCTGCTGGCTTTCACTGATCCTTAAGTTAGACACACTAGTATGAGATAAGTTCTCATCATTCTTGCTAGAGAATGTTAATGCTCTAGCCACACTCCTGATTGTGGACAATACCACTGTCCACTTATGCAGCACTTAACCATGTACACAAAGCAGTACTGTGTACATTTATCCCAATGAGGCCTGACAAGAGGAATTCCTCACACAGCTCCTACAGGCAGGAAAGGGTCACCACTGTGCTCCGAGAGCCTCTGTACATCTGTGGTGCCGTGGACGGAAGGAGGCCCGGGAATCCAGAAAGGTCACCGCAGAAACGACTCATGGAATCAGACACCCATTTACCACTGGACTAGGCCTTGTGTGGGGAATGTCCAACAGGGCCAGCAGTGCTTTAGCCCTTTAGCCCTGTGGCCACCGGCCTACCAGGGAGCCTGAGTTCGAGGCCAGAGAGCCTCAATGTCTCCACTGCCTCACGGGGTGGTCTGAAGAGGCATGGACATTCAAGTTCTCCATCTATAAAGCAATGACACTGTCACCCTGCCTACATCGCAGTCACCCTACCAGAATGAAATCGTTCAAGCCACCCCACCTTCTATCTTCCCCGGGGAGTCAGCGGACCTCTGATGACTGACCCGTGGTTTGCGGACACACTCCAGGGTCGGCCCACCAGGAACTCTGTGAAGAAACGTGGCGCTCCCCAGCCACCCTGATGGCTTAAAGCTGACAGCCTATGGGGTCTATGTGCCCTCAGACCCAGATGTCAGCCAGCAGAGATCTATGTGTGGGCAAGGCATTGAGACCACAGCTGTGTTTGTGGGGTGCCTGGAGGCTGGGATCGGGTACAGAACCCTTTATTCATTCAGACTTAGAATTCACATAAGCCACACTATTGCAGATGTTTCTTTTTCTTTTCCTTTTTCCATTTGTAAGGCTGCTAATAACCTACTTATTACCTCCCAAACACGTCTTTTCTGATGGGAAAAGTAAATGCCTACCATTCTGTTAGCCTTCTGTTTTCTCAAGGCAAAGTTCTTTACCGGGTACTGAAGAAAGATAATCTCTTTTCATCTCAACCCAGGAAGCCTTGCAAATTTTGGGCAATGGGGTGGATTTTTGTAAAAGTATATGCGTTTTCTCTTTCTCCCCGACGAGACAGCCTTCAATTCAAAAGTTACCTGCCGTCCACATCCCAAGTGAATCAGTCAACTTCAGAAACACAGAAAATCGGTCAGATCTATTGCATGCTCTGTCATCTGTACGGGAATCCCAGCGCCACTTGAAGTCAGTGAGCAGAGCACCTCACTCATGAAAGGCCTCTTGCAGATCTGGTGATGTCTGCCCACCCAGAGGACAGGCGGATGTGTCCTTTTGGCCCTAAGAAGACCAGAAAACCCTGCGTAGGTTGTGGATGGAAGTGGATGGGAACCATTCTTCCATCAGGGAATTCTAAAGTGGATTCCACGGCCTCCCATTCCAGAGCCAACTCGGATCTGCGCCTCACGTTCCCAAGGCTCCACAGTCACTGTCTTTAAAACTGAGCCTCCTGCTTTTTAACAGTTGTTACAACAGTGGGAAGAATAAACTGAACCTATTAACATTTATTAGGCTACCACTGTGGACTTAGTGCTATGGCTAGCTCTGTAGGAAACTCAAGAGAAATAGGAAACAAGGAACCAACCACTTCAGTCCCTGACATTCCAAGTTGGACAGTGCAGAAATGCTGGATGCAAAACTGCTAACAGAAGGTGGGATAAAAGAAATACACATTTGTGTGGTAGTAATTCAGGCTTTCCTAACCCACAGCCAGGAGTACCAGGGTAGCGCAAACAGTTAAGTGCTGCGCTACTAACTGGGAAGTTGGCAGTTCAAATTCACCAACAGGTACCTTCAAAGAAACGGTCTAGCGATCTATTCTGAAAAGTCACAGTCACAAAAACCCAGTGGAGGCGCCAAGTTCTTCTCTGCACATGCAAAGGATGAGTTAGAACTGATCTGATGGCAACTGATTGGTTGGTTGGTTTTCTAACCCACAGCCAATTCTTGTGTAAGCTTCCTTGTCAGGAGCCAAGGTGGGCATGTTTTTCATGGAATATAGCTGTGATATAGTTAAGGTTTTGTGCAACTTGACTGTACCAGGATTCTCATGGTTTAGCAGTTAACACATAGCTATTCCCCATGAGGAGATCTCTTGTAATCACCTCCACGATGTGGTCTGTTATGATGAATGACCAATCCGCTGAAAGGAAGTTTCCTTGGAGGTATGGCCCAGAGCAGCTTTTATCTCACAAGAGATAAAAGGGGGCAGAAGTGATCGGGGGAGGGACCAACTGTCACGAAGAAGGAAGAGCCAGGCATGGAGTACATCCTTTAGACACAGGGTCCCGGCACTGTTAGGGTCCTAAATCCAGGGAAAGATGGATGCCAAGACACGTGGATCTCCAAGGCATTTTGAGCCAACGAATGTTGAAAGGAGACAAGGCCCTTTCTCCAGAGCTGATGCTCTGAATTCAGACTTGTCATCTCCTAAATTGTGAGAGAAATCAATTTCTGTTTGTTAAAGGCATCCACTTGTGGTAGGTCTGTAACAGCAACATAGAGCTAACAAGAGAGGTGCACTCAAGGTAGTACGGACATAGACACGAGTTTTGAAGGGCAAAATGTCAAAAAAAAGCACCTGCTACTCACATTCCTCCTGAACCTGGGACCGCCAATGACAACACCGGCCCTCTGACGAGAGAAGCAACAACATTGCGTACGAAGAGTGTTGAGTGCTCTGAAGTCTAAGAACGTAATCCCTCCCTGTTTTTGCCTGAAAGTTGTCAACCAGCACTGAGGACCTTATTTGTGAAAAGATGACCTGTAATACTGTATCCTAGTGTGGCATGGGGGTTAATGCGCCAGACTGCAAAGTTAGTTTAAACTGCAATGTCAGCGGTTCAAGCTCACCAGCTGCTCCTCGGAAACTCAACGCAGGGTTGCTATGGGTCAGAATTGACTCTTTGGCAATTAACAACAACAATAAGTATGCTGGACTGTCAGAAGAAGGAACAAATCAATCTTAGAAGAAATAGAACCAGAATACTCCTTAGAACTAAGGATGACAAAGCATCATTGTTGTTGTTGTTGTTGTTAAGTGCTGTCAAGTCTTATAATGGCCCTGTATAGGGTTTCCAATGAGCGGCTGTTGAGCTTGAACCTCCAACCTTGCCATTCAGATTGACCTTATGGTCAAGTGCTGATCCTACATACCAGGCTAATCACTAGGAGTCCTGGTGTGGCACTACAGGATAAGCACTCGACTGCTAATCATGAAGTTGGCAGTTCAAACCCACCAGCTGCTCTTGGAAACCCCATATAGGGTTGCTATGAGTTGGAATTGGCTCAATAACACTTAACAATACAACAACCACTAGGAAAGGATAACGTGTTCGGCAGAGCAGAGATTCAGCGAAAACGAGGCATTAATAGCTGCAAGCAGACTGGTGATCAAGATGCTGTTCCGTGAGCAGGTAACGTTTCATTGTGCCATCCCTAACACTGCCACGAGACAGATTTAACCTGACAGCAGTCAACAGCAACAAGCATGGGAGCAGGCTGAGCCATTCCCCTTAGACTGAATTCACTACCCTTTATGGTTTTGTCTGTTTCTCTGAAAGATGGACCTCTGCTTCTAACTGTTTCCTTGGTCCGTTTCGTGCCTCTTCCACAGTTAAATAATATATGCCACAACTCTTCTTCCCCAGTCCATGCCGTCCCAACACAGCATGAAAACACAGGCACAAACTGCTCTGAGGAGAGGTTAAAAACTCTTCTCCCAGGCTGGCTCTGAAACAAGACGCCTACATTTCTTTTTGTTTTTGTTTTTCAATCAGCCAACCACCCTCTTTTTATAGTGAAAGGAAACTTCCACAGATAAGAGTTGTTTTCAAATGGGATACCCATATTAGGACCAGTGTGTGTGAGAAAGAAAGGTGGGTAGGAAGCCAATAGACATTGCATGAATGTTTCAGAAAAATGATTTTCTCCGTCACAAATGGAGGGGGATACAGACCCCTTTTTAACTCCCTGTAGCCTACAAACTATGGAAACATACTAATGAAACAGCCAAATGTGTGTATGACATGAACTAACTTTTACAGCTTTAAAATGATACCTCTCTGCGGCCTGTATGAAGCGACAAGGCAACAAAGAAGCAGAAAGTTAAAGCACAGTGTTTTAGTGTGGTAGAAGTGTTTTGCTGTCGTTGTTAGCTGCCCTGGCGTCAGCTCCAACTCAACGTGAACGCCCAAATAAAAGAACAAAACTGTCCAGCCCTGCAGCACCGTCATGAATGTTGGCACATTTAAGGCCACGATTGTGGCCACTGCGTCAGTGCACTTCATTGATGGTGTCCCTCAGTTTTGCTGACTTTACTACACATGATGTTGTTTTTCTAGTGATTGGTACTCAACACTATTTACTAAAGTCCTGCGGTGGGTCAGGCCCTGTACTAAGTATTGCTGGAACATTCCAAATACCTCAGTGAAAAACAAGCATTCTTTTCCCTGAGCTCCTTTCTCCTTTCCAGACTCCAGCCAAATATGCGGTGTTGAAGGAGTTTACTTGTATTGATAATCCATTGCCAAAAGCCCAAATCAAAAGAAAAGGATGGGTTAACCTCGGGACTTACCCCACCTCTGAAGTTCTGAAAGCAGAGGAGCTCTGGGGCTCCCTGTGGCTTCTGGGCGTGCCTCGGTGGTTCTCGGGGTCACTCACGCATCCTTTCCCCAGTGCTTTCTTACTCTGTGCGAAGGCTGCTGGACTGTTCTCATACCCATTCAGCATGCCATGGTCAGCTCGAGTCCTGGTTGCTTCACGCTGACGGCCCTCGTGGTGATCCTTGCGTGGTGCCTGCGGGCTTCGTGACAATTTGTATCCATGAGAAATCAGGAGGTCTTCCACACTGTACATGATGAAGTGGGTTTAGGAGAGCGCCACCACTAGGGACATCATGGTGGCAGGCTCCATCGCTAAGGGGGAAAACAGAGAGCTCTGTGGGTGAGCAGTCATCATTCATGTGTCATCGGTTCTCCTGGAAATTGACGCTGACCCCCTCCTCCTCCCTGAACACACTCCAAACGAGACCACGGCTGAGGACACAGGCAGTGTATCCCTAAAGATACAGAGGAAATGGAGTCTGCACTACCTGAAGCAACACTCAATCTTCCTCAGATGGAGCGGGTGGATGCCACACTGCCTCTCTAGGATGTGGGGGTGATTATGAGGATTTCGCTCTGATGAATGCCTCTTGTAGAAGAATTCAGAATCGTATTTAAGCCATGAAATGGTGAACCGTGGTCACCACCCCCTTGCCCCACTCATCTGAAAACAACTACGTGCAGGGAGGAAAAAATAAATACAGATTCGGGAGCAGCAATTACAACTTCAAGTTTCTAAAAGGAGAAACTACCAACGTCCGGCTTTGTTGTAACCGTACTTCCCTGCTCCCAGGTTGCAGACACGCCTTTTGTTACAAAGGGCAGAGTGTGATCTTTAATCAACAAATAGCCATGCTCTGCTTCCGAGGAGAACCCTAAATGGCAGCTACCAGGGGCTCTGTCACAGGATGGCTACCTAGAGTCTGAAAATAGACTTCAAGATTTCAGGCTCATAATGTCAAAACAAACAGTGTGCTCATCAAAGACACACACTCAGCCCAATCAAAACCATTCTCCTTTCTACCTGGAACTTTATTAAGAATCAAATTTCACCTCAATGAGTCTTGGGGTAAATGCTGGGCATGTGAATCAAGTGTGTCCTTACCTAAAACCTGCCATGGTGCATGATTTCAACAGTGGGACTTCCCTGGGGAGTAAGACAGCCAAAGGCAGTAGGGCCAACAGAGAAGAATAAAACGGGTCAGGAACCTATATAAGAGCATATGTATCAAAAAAAGTGGGCAGCTGTGTTTATTTTCACAAAGCAGGATCAAATTCCCCCACTCTTCCCTTTGTCATTAGGGTGGACACTGATTTTGGTTAGATGGCATCTGCCACAATCTCCAGGGAGGTTGTGACTCTGGTTTGGGCAAGAAGCACACCAGAGCCAGGCTCTCCTCAGTAAATTCCAGCCACACCAGGCTGGTGGATAGAAATAGAGTGGCCTCAGGCACCACAAACAATGGCCAGGAAATGCCTGCTGGCCGGTGTGCAGGTGGAAAGGAAGACGGATATGCTTCCTGTCCATGGAAATTCTTGCTCGGGTCTACCACACAGTTCTGCTGACTGTGCATGTTCTCACTCTTCGCATACTAACTTACAGTGGCACAAACTCCCAGTTGTCAGCATGGAGGGTTGTCCAGCTTTGGAGGTCTGTAACTTTCCACTGTCTTTGTTGTCCTTGTTAACTGCTGTCTAGTTAGTTCCAACTCACAGCAATACCATGTAGGGTGTCCAACAAGTGGCTAGTGGGTTTGAACCTCCAACCTTACAATCAGCAGTCCAGCGTTTATCCTACAGTGCCATACCAAAGCTCCAACTTTCCATTGTTGTTAAGTGCTGCAGAGTCAGTTCCAACCCATAACAACCCTATAGAGGGTTTCCAGGGAGTGACTGGTGAGCTTGAACCACCAACCTTGCAGTTCAAACCGACTTTGCAGTCTAGCACATTAACCCACAGTGCCACACCAGGACTCCAACTTCCATTGTTATTGTTGTTAAGTGCCATCGAGTCGATTCCGTCCCATAGCAACCCTGTATAGGGTTTCCAAGGAGCAGCTAGTGAGCTTGAACCATCGACCCTGCAGTTCAAATGACTCTGCAGTCTGACACATTAGCCCACAGCGCCACACCAGGAGTCCATTAGGAGTGCATATTCTAGGGAAGGTAAGCAAACTCTGGCAGTTACTATCCTAATAGAAGAATCTCCATAGCAACTGCCATTCCTGATACACCCCTCCCTGACTTTTAGGGAGTTGTCTGAATTGGATCATTCCCTCCACCAGATGCAAGCATGTACTCCTTTACATAGCTGGGTCCGTCACAGGGCTAGTACTGCAGAGGAGAGGTTCTATTACAGATTCCACGTGACTCCTCCAATGGCGGCATGCAGACCACGCTGCAGATCAGGAAAGGCAAGTATGATGGACACAAGGCCTACGCTTTGTTCAATTCCTGGTGTGGCGCTCTAGGATAAGTACTGGACTGCTAGCCACAAGGTCAGCAGTTCAAAACCAACCAGCTTCTCCTTGGAAACCCTATGCAGATTCACTACGAGTCGGAACTGACTTGATGGCAAACAACAAGCTTCTAGGATAGTTGTTGCTAAAGTTAGTTCCAACTCATAACAACCCTATATAGGGTAGTTTCAGAGGCTGTAAACCTTGGCAGGAGCAGAATGCCTCCTTTCTCTCACAGAGCAGCTGGTGGGATTTGAACTGCTGACCTTATGGTTCATAGATCAGAACTTAGGCTGCAGTGCAATCAGCACTCCCTTGTAGCCTAGGTTGTGTTCAATACATAATGCTAAGTGGATGCAAAAATGAGTGATTTGTTACATTTGAGGTGGGTTTGAAGGATGATTAAGCGTTCTTTAAATGAATTGCATATATATGTGTATGAGAGGGGAAACTGGCACTTTGAATAGACTTTGTGTACAATTGCCCCAGAAATAAACAAATGGCTGAGAAACAGAATTTTGGTAGCCTAGGCCAGGGTCCTCAGACCCCTATGTTCAGTGCCACACATGTGCAATTTCTCTCCTTCACTGTCTTAGACTCGTAAAAGAGGAGCAAATGACACTGCACTCCAACTGACCACCAAATTCACTGAAGACCAGATCAGTGGCCAACCTGGATGGTGGTGCAGTTCATTTGTTGGAGAAGAAATGGCACTCAAATTGAAGTTGTGGTGCTGTTGTCATTAGCTGATGTGCAGCGGCTTTCCCACACGGCAATCCCCTGCAATCCTGAGTGCGCAGAGAACAGCAACTCCTTAGGGCTTGATCATCTGAAGCACGTCCCCAGAGCTGTCTTCTGACGTATCTCTGGCTGGGTCTAAACTGCCAACCAGCCCGGCAACAGTGGGGCTTGGTAACTTGGCCCAATATTGCAAAGTTAGCACAGTAATTCTATGTCCTTAACTGGCATGATAAACAAAAACGCCAAACCTACTGCCATAAAGCCAATTCCAACACATAGCAACCATCTACCTGGTTTCTGAGACTGTATATCTCTGCAGAAGCAGACAGCCTAGCTGTCTTTCTCCTACAGAGTAGCTGATGGGGTTAAATCATCAACTTGCAAATAGCAGCCCAATGCCTACCCCACAGGACCACCAGGGCTCCTTAGGATAAACCCAGGTGAAGCCAAAAACGTCTTTTTGAAACTACTAAACTCATAAAAAGCCACATTACTATGATGTTAAAAGTCAAAAGTGCAAAAGTGTTTCGACTGTTGAAACTCGTCACTTGTTCTCATCTGTCAGAGGCCTGTGGGAAGCAAGCGGACAGAGGACAATCGCTTCAGTGTGTGGTGCAGAGAGCTGGGTGGGAGGGAGAGAGCCGGGGAGGGGATAACCACAAGCCTAGTGCGGAACCTACAAGGCTGGTTCCTTAAGGCCATTCCAATTCATAGACGGGTTCTCTTCCCTGAGTTTACTGTTGTTGTGAAGTGCCGTAGAGTAGATTCCAACCCATAGTGATCCTGCATAGGGTTTCCAAGGAGCAGTTGGTGAGCTTGAATCGCCAACTTTGCAGTTCAAACAACTTTGCAGTGTGACACATTAGCCCACGGCGCTCAACACAGAACCTGGGCTTCTGCCCCATGTGGACACTCACACAGATTCTGGACCGCCCCTCACACTGTGCAGCCAGTGTCACTGAATTACACACACTGGAATTGTTAAATGCCCTATGTTCTCTGTGCACATTTTCAAAAATAAATTAAAATAATTTCAGAAAATGAAGTTCTTTCCAACCTGAGATACTAGCCTTCTAAATCAACATTTCAATCATATCACTCAAGCATTGGTGGTGGTGGTGGTGATGTGCCGTGGAGTGGGTTCCAACTCATAGCGACCCTGTACGGGGTTTCCAAGGCTGTAAATCTTTCCGGGAGCAGAAAGCCTCATCCTTCTCCCACAGAACAGCTGGTAGTTTCAAACTGCTGATCTTGATCACTCAAGCATTACTCATTTAAAGAAAACCCCACCCACAATACTCATAAACCCCCTTTTAACTAACTCAATGGGTTACTTTAAAAGGCACAAACCCCCCAATCTACAACATGTAAACCCCGTTAGTACCACATGATACATCACAAACTGGGTGTGTGTATAATTAAAGAACACAGCATGGGGTGAGATCCCAGCCCTCGTGCTGACACCCACTCCTGGTTATGGTCCCAGAAGTAGTTTACTTCACCGAACCTCAGTTTCCTGACTGTAAAATGGGGGTCATCATCTTCCCATCTTACAAGGCCATCTTGGGAGCCCATAGGAATATGCAAAAGCGCTATCACCATGCAAATGGGGGGACTCCAAGAAGTTCCTGGGAAAATTTTGTTCTCTTTTCACTCATTTTTCCATGGACTTTTTGAAACCCCCTCAAATAAGACTGGACTCCTGGTGTGGCACTGTAGGGTCAGCACTGGACTATGAACCACAAGGTCAGCAGCTCAAACCCACTAATGGCTCCTCGGAAACCCTATCGATCCATGGTCACGGCTCTTGACAACAACACCGACATCTAAGATTGGGAACGCTGTGACTTTGTAGGATAAGCACTGGACTGATAACCACAAGGTAGGTAGTTCAAGACGACCAGCTGTTCCATGGGAAAGAGACGAGGTTTTCTGCTCCTACAAGGATTTACAGCCTCAAAACCCCAAAACAAGGCCACATATGCGTTGGAATGGACTTGACTACACTTAACAACAACACAGCACATAAAAGAGTATGGACGAAAGAGGGGAA